TATATATATATATATATATATATACGCAGGAAAAAGTATTTCGGGTATTCCTAAAATACTTTCAGTCACTCTTGGACGCATTGTATAACACTACTGGCAAATAATTTGGAAGGTGCGGGTAATGGCAGGATGATCTTCCACGTGCCTGTTTTATATAATTAATAATACATAAGTCCTTAAATCGAATATTTTTGAGATGATGAGATATAAACATATTGTGCGGCCCTAAAATGAAGAACACAATATTGTAGTGCGAAGCAACATCCGCGATGATAAGACAGGTAGAAAGAAAAGTGCGACACGATGGCATTTATTGTGCATCAAACCACGTCGCATGGATACAGGCCTAATTCCTTCAGCGATATGGCAATTTTGGAACGGAACTTGAGGGTCTAAAATTCAAGTCAACTTCGTTATCGGAATGCTTATATATAATTTTGCAGATACAAGACCACCTGTGTAGATGTTCGTCGACATATATATATATATATATATATATATATATATATATATGTATGTATGTATGTATGTATGTATGTATGTATGTTACATTTTTATATCTTACACGCGCGCGGGATAAAACACTCTACCAATACCATTCATTTTAAGCTACTTTCAACTGCCAAAGTGTAATACTTTCGAAGATCTTGTAAACAATTTCATACGGTAATAGTATTTTTACGTCATAATAAATACCATTTTGTATTTTGTGTTTTGCAGCATATGTGTAACTCTCTCGATATAGTGAGAAAGCATCATGAACAAATTACTTTACCACTGATATTACACGCAAAACTTTGCGCAGCAAGATCATTTTAGCGATTTAGAATAATGTGGTGTGGTCTAAAGTGCGCGGCGCGATTTAAATATGTATATATATATAAAAGAAATATATCGCGTATATGGTTTTTTTTGTGTAGATAAACTTACTCTCTTGATTTATAGCGATTTTTATTAGGCAATTTTATTTCGTTATTCACCTTTTCTTTTTATATATACATAATTGATCATACAGCGTTATGCTAAATATAATTTCGGTTAGAGAAAAATGTTCGCTATATATTTATCGTTAGTTTTATAATAAGGAGAAATTATGTGCCTCGTATATTTTGTAGTGTCTACTAATTACTATACGAATAATATGTGGTAGATGCAGACTTGTAAGAATTAATTTATTTAATGCAGATATATTTGCAGTGGCAGCTTATTACATATCACTTTAAGCAATTATGCAATCCTTAGAAGTATTCTCCAAATTCATATTATACATGCATATATAAAAATTACTTTAAAAGAATAAATATTAAAAACTACGCATCTTTATGTCTAATGTACATATTTGTTATCCATACAGCTTATTTTATATCCTGTTATAGCAGCGAAATGATAATTATCACAGATATGATGGAAACAATTTTCATTTATATAAATTATAAATTATACAGCGAAAAGAACTTCTTCTCCCCCTTTTACAACTGTCTGAAACGACACTCAGGAATCGGTATTTTTCGGTTCTGCAGTAGCACCAATATTTGCAGGTTTCACGATGGATTCAACATTTACGGATTTCTCAGATTCTATATTGATACCTGAATTAACAGTGCAACTTGGATTGCTATTTTCATGAAGAGTTACTAGTTCGATATTCATAGATTTCTCAGATTCTACACTGACATCTAAATTAGCAGTGTCACTTGGATCGTTACTTTCATGAAGAGTTTTCGCTAATTCGATATTTACAGATTTCTCAGATTCTACACTGATATCTGAATTAACGGTGCAACTTTGATCGCTACTTTCACGAAGAGTTTTGGCTAATTCGTATAAATTCGATGTGTTTTTACGAATCTCCGTTTCTAAGTTAGCTTTCTTCTCTTCCATTTCTTTCCGTTTTTTAGTTGTTTCAGGCGACTCTGGCTTTACAAGACCTCTGCTTACCGTGTAACAGACACTGCTACTGTCCTCAGATTTAAAGACAAATGTCAATCTGTTGACAAACCAACGTTTGTTTATAAATGTATACTGTTATGTTACTGTTAATGTTAATTGTTAATCAATAATAACATATTGCAAAGAAGTGTCAGGAATATACATGACAATGTTGTATGTTAGATATTAAAAGCTAAGCACAATTACCGTTCACTTTGCAAGATATCTTGTATCTTCTCAATTTTACTAAAGGAAATGTTATATTTGGTTGCCCAAGGTATGTATATCTCCATCTGAGAATTCTGACTCTTCTTAACTTCAAAATAGAACTGATCAAGTTCCTCGTTATACTTGTATCTGATATCCCAGAATCGCTTTACTGCAAATCACAACGCAGTGGTGAGAACTTATACATTTACGATTGTTTTGCTACATATGGATTGAATATAAATACCTTCGCATAGTTCAATATAGACGTAAAAGGCAATAGTAGTTTTCACTGGGTCGCTGCAGGCAAGCTTGCATAGTTCATAATACTAAAAGCATGAATAAAATTGCAAAATGTGAACTTTGTATACAGATTAGTACATAATAACCTCAACACTCAGTAATAATACGTTACTAATCGTACAATTTCTAAACATTAATATAAAGTTATCACAGTGAGAGATTATTGCTTTCCAGACACAACGTTCCCAATTCTTTGGATAATCCATAAATAATAAATCAATAATGTATATATGATTAAGAAATTCTAATAACCTAATAGCATCACATACTAAAATTATTACACCTGTCTCTGTACTCTGAATATTTATATTACTCAACCTACAAATCTATTTATTTTAATAAAATTTTAACGCATCGAAAGAAATGACGCAATTAAGTATATTACATAAATAAGAAACTTTGGAAATATTTAATAGAATAGTTACTCACAGCAGGATGACATATATCATACATGTTATTGTATGTTCAAAATACAAACACAGGACAAGATTTTTTTTAACTGATTAAAATATCTCTTACTTTTCAGGACGCATATTCGCATAAAAGTTCGAGAAAAGACAATTCTTGACACATGTATCGGCGCAAGCGTGTGAACACGCCTCAGTAGCGTACGTATATTACTATAATAATGGTATCGTTATGCTCCCCGGGGAAAAGTGTTTTTCCTGAAATTCTATCATATTGCATCGTATAGTGTATTATGTTATAACACATAATATGATCTAAAAAAGTAAATATATTAAATTATAACGTTTCCACTTAAATCCCTTCTCCTTTCGATCTTTCCCTGCAAAAGCTTTTTTTGTTTGGAAAATTAGAAATGCTCGATCTAGTTTATCGTTGACTTATGTTCGAGTGAAATTTTTCAGTTTTGAAAAAATTTTTTCCCTCTGATTTATCGTTGATTTATATTACTTACTCGAGAGAAAAATTTCGATCTGATTTTTTTGTCATTGACTTGTACTACTTGCACGAGAGAAAATTTAAACGATAAGTCAGACGGTCGAAATTTTTCTTTCGAGAGAGAAGTAAAGTCAATGATAAGTCAGAAGGTTGAAAAATTTTAATTTTTTTAACGGACAGATGATTTGTACAGGAGAAGATATAAATAAAGTACAAATATTAAATTTTAATATTATATACTTATTTTTATTGAGCCTTTATTGTTACAATGTAATAGAATAGAAAATAATATAATTTACATTAGAAAAAATATGCGATGTGATATATATAATAAAATATATAATTTATAAGTATAATATTATTTTGCAAAATATATTCTTCATTTTATACTAATTATACCATTACCAATTTTATATTAATTATACCATTAGAGTCGGAGAATTCGTGTCTTCGGATAATCGTTGCTGATGTAAGGTATTTGCCAACCGTCGGCGTTTTTCTGCGAGGTCGGTACAACGACGAGAGGTTCCAAGATTCAGACGTTGAGTGGCCATGATTTAAGGATACTGACGTTACCAACCGTCTCCTATATTTTGTATCAATTTCTGCGTAATTAGCTTATAACGTGATATTAATTGTTCATTTTTTAATATCTAAATTTATGTATAATAATACGTATATTTTTATAAAACTGTTAGTTTTTCGTTTTGCATGATTTACTTTGTTGTATGTTATAATGTATAGCAAATGGGACAATCTGCCGGGGAAAATGGGTATTTAAACATTTTTGGAACATTGACGAGACACATTTTTAAGATATTTCCAAAACTAAAAATCGTTTATGATGGTTATGATTTATTTTAAAGTATATGTAATGTTACGTGTAATATTACCGACTATATTTGCGTATTTTCGTGATTGTAGAAATTATAATTTATGACGCTATACTTGGGCAAGTTTTTACGCTATCTTTTATATTCAAAGTCTAAAAATAGGTTTTCGGGCCTCTGAAAGTAAAGAGAGAGAATGCACGCATATATAATACGAATAACTATAAAATTTTATTTTGTATGTTTAATAAATACATTTCTTCGTTTTACACATTTCATAACATAGATAAGCGTATTCAAATCCGAAGTATGTCCTATTCTCTTAAATTAAACTCTCAGTGTGTAACTTATATATCACCTTGTTGAAACTCGCTTTGTGTATTTTAATTAAGATAAAAAGATATCAACATAAAAATTATTACTACACGATGTAAAATCTTATTTAAATGCACAATGTGTATTACCGGGACGAGAAGCGTCATTGAAAAAGAATCCAATGGTAGAAACGAGAGATAAGGCACTGGTAAAAGTCTCACAAGAGTAATTCATATTTCAAAGACTCCGTTACATCAGCCACAGTTCGCGTTACAATTAAGTACAACGGCGGTAATCAAATTAACCCGAGATCTAAAAAAGAACTACAAAACGATCTCGTGGTGGATCTTCTCGGTTCGAAGATCCACCGATGCGAAACTTGCTGTAAAATCGCGAGGATTATTGGCATACGTACAGATCCTCGTTTACGACATTGTAAAAAAAGGACTACGATTACTTTAAAGACTCGTGAACTTTCCGAATTGGAAGTTGGGAGTTTTCCGCTCGTCGCATACTCCGATATGTACATTTTGGCTCACCATAAGAACGAAAAATCATTGTTCATTAGAAGCGTAAGCTCAAAAAATGACGAATTATTCGAATTATCTATCTATTGTCTACAGCTGGGCGGATCCTCGCCACGCGGAGTCGAAGCCGCAGGCCGTGTCGGAGTCGGAGTCGTTCTGCTGAACGTTGGACACGACGGAGTTGACGGACATCGTGGACGTCGGTCGACGTTGAATGGCCTGGTTGTTCGCTCGGCTGACCTTGCCCTGCAGCAACGGAGTGGTCGGCTGACTGGTCGCTTGCTGACCTCGCGATGGCCCGAAATCCTGCGCCCGCCGGCTCCTGCGTTTCTTGATGGGCGCGTACTTCGGCGGTGGCATCATCTTCTGGTCCAGCTTGGGGATCGCAACATGTAACGTGCGAAAGATTAGGACGAGGCGAAGGAGGAGATTGCACAGGATAACAGGGCTATTATCGCGGCCCGTGAAAGTCGAAGCGATCCTTTCTGCCGGTCAACACGAGCGATTCGAATATTTCCTTTCCCGTTTGATCTTATCTCGAAGGGAGAGGTAAGGCTAACGTGAATTCCGCCGGCTCCCAGTCGTGGAAGTCCCCGAATTCGAGTCGACGTTTCCAAGTTCAAACGTTCCCGCGATCGGCTGATCGATCGCTGAGATATTAGGTAAGAATGCATTGTCCGTGAGTCAAAATGATGAACAAATTATGGGTAAATTGTAAAATGGTCTGCATTGCGTTTAAAAGTGCCGCTATAAGTCTGACGGCAATTCTGAGCTTGAGTCAAAAGTTATTCTACTTTAAAGGAGGTTGTAAGGCGAAATGAGTTTGATAAGAATTCGATGAAGCTTGCATTGCATTATATATTAAAATATTATCTAATTCATTATCCTTGCAATCAAGATCGACTACTTGAGAACTGAGATATTTGTGACTAATATTGATGCTTTTTATACGTGTTCCTTGAGACATTAGCTTGCTATATTTTCAATTTCTGTTTTTAATATCTTTTAAATTGAAACAAAAAAATTGGACTTTGGTGAAAAACTATTATGATATTAAAGACTAATTGACATAAATTTCAGAATTATTGAACATTTTTTTTTTAAATACAGCGAAACAAAGTCCATAACTTTTAATAAGAATCAAAATATATGTATATATTTGCATATATTTAAACACTTATATGCCTCTTTCTTTTATCTATGCATCTCTGTTAGATCAACTGATATATAAATATAGCACATTAATAAGAAATACATATATCTCGAGTTCGTTTCAAATTAACATTTATTATTTAGTGAAATAAATGTATAGAAACTTAATTTTGTTTGAGAAATATTAAATTTATGTGTGACTCCTCTGATGCATCATCAAAAATACGATATTAATGGGCAGTGTATCCTTAGTAAGTTAATTATCGCCGCGTTAACATCGTTGATTGCACAAAGATACCAATCCAGTTCCGTTAATATTGATTCTGATAGCACTGATAAAAAAATGGACACTAAAAATGTACGTTACATGTATGCATACACGACAGATGAACAAATGACCGAAGATACGGCAAATAAATATCATTCGCGGCGCGTATATCTTCTACCTCGTTTCATTATGTGTAATTAATTATACATTATACTTATGATTTATCATAATTTAATGAGACACGGTGGAGGAGAGATATCATAGCGGTCACCTGTGACCGTTGCGGCATTGAACCGATGCAATTAACGCAACACGCATTTGAAACGCCGCGTTTAAAATGTTGCATTTTAAAATGCGTCCGTAAAACCTGCAACTTGTGCAAACTACGAGGGTCAATAATTACCCACATCGTATTTATAAAATGTATTATAAAAATGGTAAAAAATTTATATAAGCCTTTTAATTTCAATACAGTCTCCTTGAATCTCAATGCATTCAGTCCAACGCGTCGAAAGTTTCTTTATTTCCCCGGGAAAATACGTACTACGTCAACCTATGCAAATTTATAACAGAAGTTCAGATAATTATCGACTCACCGTCATGAAAAAAAAAAACCGGTCCTTCTTACTTTTCCAAAATGCGGGATTAAAAGATTAAAAGATTGAAGACTAATCGACGCGATAGATTCGCGTGTATTCACGGACGACGACTGTTCGGCGGCCTCGTTGCTGCCTTCATACCTCTCGTAAGCGAAAATGCTGAAACTCGCAGAGTGAAAACGAAAGAAAGCGGCTTTCCTTTTCTTCAAGACACGCGATTAAAAAATCCGAATGGAAACTAATCGGCGATAAATTCGTGTGTAAACCGCGAAACGAAGACTGTTCGCGGCCTCATTGTTGCCTTTGTACCCCCCGGCAGGTTCGCTCGCGTCTTTTTCCTCGTCTTAGTTATTAGCAAAACGAGATAAGTATTTCCTGTAGGGATCCATATTACGTTAATGTGCCGACGCGTCAGCCGGAGATACGGTGTAGCCGAGAAAATAATACCTGAACGTTATCCGCGGATCCCCACGACTTGTGGATCTTCTCGTTGTTGCTGCCGGCCGTGTTGCTACTGTTGCTGCTGCTAGTTGCCACACCCAGGAACTGGCTGAAGGCTTCCGTCGTACGTTTCACGCGAACGTTCAACGAGCCAATTCGTAGGAAACCAAGATCTTTCTCTGTATATTCAATCAATCGCACGGTTACAGCGTCATTACGGGCGATCTCTCACGAGACTGTTATCGCCTTACTTAAAACGTGACGTTTTGGCAACACATATACGGAAAACAATTAGTCTGAAATCAATAATAGATATTTTCATACACGAAAAAAATACCCGGTTGCATTAGACAGAAATGGGAACGGCCGGATGCGTTCTGGTTGAAGAAGGAATTCGAATGTTTGGTTCTCATGACTCGAATGTGATTCTTATAATCAGAAATTCTATTTTCTCCGACCAAAATGCATCCGGTTGTTCCCTTTCTGATTAATACAACCGTTTTTTTTTCCGTGTACATAAACAAGAATATCATAATCTTCTTGGGAGATTTTTAGCCTTGATTTGACCGAATTTGCATTGACGTAAGTATCACTTGCACTCGATTCAAGATGAAAAATCTTCCAAGAATCATACTAGAATATTCCCGCTTATATATGAGAATATCTATTATTAATTTAAGACCATTAATTTTTTCCTGTGCAGAGGAAGAACATACAAGCGGATTCGATTGCATCGCGTATCTCACCGTTCTCATTGATCTTTCTGTATTAACACGTTGAGTGTCACGAGGATTACCAGTGGCCGACATTGTGTATAATATTGACGCATTTTGCTAAGTACAAAACATAATTAATTATACACAATTAAATGCACAGCCAATAGGAAGCGAGCGGGCGAATGCCATACACAATGAATTGCATTTATTTGCCGATTCGAACGTCAGTCGGACACTGAAGTAATTAATCAAAGTGACAGTCAACATGTTAAGGATTCCGCGGAGCCGCACAAACAAAACCGTCTTGAAAGGAATTATCGCGAGACCGAGATACCGTGTATATTTTTTATCGGAATTGCCCGTAATTATATGCAAATGGAATCAATTGGAATCAACCTGCGTAAGTCTGACATGAGGAAAACTTCGATGTCACGATATGTCAAGAAGTAGCGTGTCAGGGTATGTATTCTGGTCTACGAAGGATATACAACTACGGTGTTAATGTCTCTACTACTCGGCTCGTCTTTCTCTCTCTCTTTCTCGCATGCACTAAGTTAGTCCCTACTGTTAAACGAAAGCCACAAAACTTCGGTCTTACCTGCATGCTTTTTCCTTGCTTTTATTTCTGAAAGAAAATAGAAAATCATTTGTGAGACTGTCTCGCACAGGCAGCGGGAGACGGGAACACCGGCTAAGAGCGAGGTTGTGAGAATCGCGAGCGAGTTAGCATAGAATCGAGTTAGTGAGAAAGAGCGAGCGACAGAAGTTACGTTTTTTTTTTTTTTAGTATACGCGCGATACCGGAAAAATCTACTAATTACGCTAAGTCGGTATTTATTAATTCACACTTGGAACACGGGGGGGTTAGCTTCTGTTAATGGCAAATCCGAATTTGCAGGTAATAATCGATCGCTGCAATTCTCCTTCTTTCTCCTTCTGTGTGTTAGCTCGAGTACTCGTTTCTTCGCGCGCATCGCGACGTAAGTAATTATTCCGTACGGTTAATGAAGATTCAATCAGCTTTATACGGGACAGGATAGACAGGAGGGCTCGAGGAGAGATTAGTGACGCGTAAGAAGTTAGTCTAACAAAATCGGCTGCTTTCCCTCGCGAGAATTACACGTCCTGTCTCGTTGTAACTAGAGACAAAAAAAAAGAGATGAAAAAAACCGTGGTATTAATAATCCGGTGCGATTAAAATGCGATGCTGAGAGTCGAACGGAACGGAATACGTGCTTCTCATGCTTGATGCGTGCATGCTTTATTCACGTGCAACAACAACAATAATATGTCATACATACGCGTGTGTAAAAGGAATTAAGGGAAAAAGAGTAATAACGGCGGCGATGTGAAACGAAGTGTCTTACATAACGAATGTATTAAGCAACAGAGGGGGAGAAAGAGAGAGAAAGAGAGATACTCTCGGCGTTCTCTTAATTGTAGACATGTTTCTCTCTATCTCTCTCTCTTTCTTTCAACACGTATCTCTTTACACTCTCTCACGATACGCGAACGCTCTGTAGGTTTAAGAAGCGAGGATGTCGACTTCGTTTCACAACCTTTCGCCGGAAGTACAGAAATCTGAAACGGAAGAATGTACTACTGCCACTGTACTACTACTTTGACGACCCGCGTCTTTTGTATTTGTATTGTAATTGTGTCTTATGTATCTCCGAGTCTTTTGTAGTATATTTCGTGATTATCGTGTGTGATTGATATCTCGAGCGCGATCGTCCCGTATGATTAACATATAAAGAAGTACGAAACGGGCGTTACGATGGGCTAATCAACTGATATTTCGTCAACAAATGTTCTTAAAAAAAAAATGAGAAATGAATACCATTTTGCAGAAGCGTTACTTCATTCAGTGAACATATTTCGTACATTGAAAGAAAAAAATATCTAACAAATAAAAAAAAATATTTATTCGGTGGATACTAATGATATATTTACTTTATATACATATTTCTTTTCACACTAACATCTTTTAAATAAAAAAATATACTTAATAATAATTTTCTTAAGTCTGTACCTTTTCATGAAAGCAATTGATTGTTTTGTACTTGAGTAAAAGAATTTAATCTTAAGTAAATATGTCATTAGTATCCCACGCCAATATTTTTTTTATTTTTTAAATATTTTTCCTCTCTTAGTGTATATATACAGAACAACACGATTCTTTACCGTTAGACCAAGGCTGCGAGCATTTTAACACATTGAGACGTTCGGCACACATTACGCAGAGACGATTCAGCGACATAGATCGATTCAACGACATAGAAAAGCACCGGCGACACGAATGAAGAGTCTTGAAATGCCGGCAGAGCGAAGACAGGCTCCGCCGTTTTCGAGGATCGTCTTCTCTCTCTTTATCTCTTCTGCCGCAAATTTCAATCGGAATGGATTAGTGGAGATGACACTCTCGAGTGGCACGACTCGTTGTTGTCGGTAACACTCTCAGTGATCCCCGAGATCGCGTGACGAGGCCCGTCCGTCAAACACATCTCAACCATACTCACGTCGCCACAGTGTGGAAAAAGTGACAGTCGTACGTTACTCTAAGGTGCGTCTATTTAAGTCTTGCGACACCGAAGCGCTTTACTACGTTAGCGGAAGTGCGCTTCTGAACTTGCCTGTGCGTAGCGGCAGCGGTAATCCCTACAACAAAAGAATATTTCCAGAACCCTGACGCGATCGGTACACGCGCACACCGACACGCACACAAGCACACCGAGAAACAGTGCCCGCAACCGTTCCCGCCGACGATACTCTCGATATATCATCGCACTCGCCGACATACTATCTACGTACACACTTGAAATCTACGAGGAAGCGTGCGAAGCACACGGATGTACAGGTGAAACACCAAAGATATCCCGGCGAGAGACAAGGAGGAAGAGAGAAAGAGGCTCATGCAAGTGGAGGGTCTCTTTCGACCGATATTTCTTCAGGTGAAATTCCACTCGGAAAATTCGGTGACAGCGGAACCGCTTCAAATTCGAGCGAGACTTCCCACTCGTATTCACTCATGGAGTGAATCTTTCACTCCGAATCATCGGGTGAATATCTTCAATCGAAATTGAAGAGTGAATCTGATGTATTCCGCTGTCTCCGAAGGAAAAATTTACCGTAATCAATTGAATCATTCACTCATATGAATTCAGAATTCACTCTAAGATAAAGTTAAGCATTTATTCTTCTGATTCCGAGTGTCAGTAACTTCATTGTCGCAGCGTTGCCATCTGATCATCGGAACCAAAAAAGGGGAAGTAGTTTACTGTTTCTTGACAGAAAAGGTGAGGAAAAATGTCCTCTCAGACATCAAAATAGTGACCAAAAATAACATTTTTTGTCAAATTCTGAGAGTAACTAGTTATTTAAGCAAAAAGAAGAATAACACACTTATCTCCCCACGTTTATCTTTGGATAACTTAACACCCAGCGAAAGTTCTTTCATAATACGGTTTGAAAGTTCATAACAAGGTAAAAGATCAAGAGCATGAACGAAATAATGTAAATACAAGTGTTAAGACAACGGACCAGTAGCCAAGCTAGAACGGCAATCGGCAACAACAATGAGATGAAGCGGTAAAAAGATACATACAGAACGCCTATATTTTATAAATTTAACGGCAGCTAAAAAAAGTGACTATAGCGGTCCGTTTCGGACGATAGTGAATTTTTTAACGACTCGTCGAGAAAAAGTTACAAAAGGTGATTTCAATGACTGGATGGCGGCGCTGCTAATCGCTTCGAGTGAATGTCTATTTCGTTCGAGTGCGATCTCACTTCGAGAAATTTAGAGAAATCGCGGGCAGTTCGAGCGTACAAGAATTCCCCTCATTGTCAGTCAATTAGGATAGGTGGTACATGTCATCGGATATTAATTTGAGCAGCCGTCCAACCGATAAGAGGGAGGAGGGCACCGCGATCGGACACGTGGCGGTGAATTCGGCGATAACACGTGGAAATAGCGCGGTTCAGGCGGCAGATACGTCAACCGGATATCTAAATGATACATCTATTCGGCCAGTGTCACAACTCGTGGATGCTAAACGGTGTCGTCACTCCCCCCCTCCCCCCGGTGTCATACCGTCATCGCAACGGGGAAGGCGAGAGAGATGGCTATTAACGGGTCGTGCTGGAGCGTGACAGGCGGACGAAAAGCGACGCACGAAACGAACGGCTGGAACGAACGGCGAAGCAACAACGATCAGCACGCTATCGGGGGAAGGGGAGGGGCGTAAAAATAAGTCGGACAGAAACGGAACTTCGGGGACGCTTAAAGCGGGGTGTGTAAATTATATCGGTGCACCTCGGCGACGGTAATTGGTTTTACAGAGGTGGCGGCGGCGAACGCGAGCGAGCGGAGGTCACGCGTGTTCGCCCGGCTACACAAGCGAATTCGTTCGATGAAACTTTTCCAAACGGCGATTACGTCCTTTGTTTCCACGTTACGCTAACTACCGCCTCCTCCTCCTCTCCGGTGTAGCGTGTGTCCGTACGAAGGGGAGAAAGAACGAAGGAAGGGAGGAGAAAAAAGAAGAGGAAAAACGAGCAGCCACCACACGTCTAATGTATGCAAAAGAGAGAAACGATCGCCGACGTTCCCGAGGTCAGTCTCATCGCGGGCGAGTCTGTTGCGGATTAGGAGGAAAGGGGGTGGGTTTCTCGCGAGTCCCGCGACGATTCTCCCGGGCGATTTCAACGCGGAAAAGGATCGTCGTCCTCGCGTGTGAACTTGAAATCGAAAACCCGTCTACGATCGCGAGGAGTGACGCTTGCGTCTTCACCCGGCCACGATCACGTGTCCCTCTCGTCCGAGCGGCTGTCTTTCCTCCCGGATAGAGCAATACTTACTGCGGAAGGTGTCCTGGCTGACCGCCGCCTCCTGCGACACCAAGTACTGCCTGGCCTTCTTGCCGCTGTGGTCGCGTATGTCCTGATTCGCGCCTGGAAAAAGCAAGAGCATTTTCCGACGTTCGCACGTCGTCTTCTCGCCGCCATCGCCGACGGCGACGTTTCCCTCGCTATTTCGCACGAGGCTCGCGAAGAAAGAGCGCGTCTACTCACCGTACACCTGGACCAACAGATTGAATATGTTCTCGTGGTCGAATTGCATGGCGATATGCAGCGGCGTGTAGCCCTGAAACAGCGACAACGACGTTCTCGATACGCGATTTCGGGACAGGTGTGCAACATCTCGGGCCGTTTAAGAGAGTTAACGATACGGTACGTCTTTCCCATCTTCGAGAGCGTGCGCTAAGCACGCACATACACACGCGTACACACAGTCTTACACGGTCTTTTAAACGTACTTATATTAATTATCCCGACGGAGGAGCAACAAGGAGAGCGTATCAATAATTGGGCAAATTAAAAGGTGAACGATATTCCCGCTTGACGAGCATGTAATACCACGCGAAAACAACGTTACGTGCACGTCACGTTGACGCAAGGTGTGTGCATTAATATATTATACGTTCGGTCTGCTACGGTTTAATGAATAATGTATCTCTAATTGCACACGCATACACCCCTCCGCTCCTCCGCTGTCCGTCGTTTCCGGCGTCCCGGTGCAACGAGGATACGCCAATCTCTCCCGTTGCAAGGAAATCATAATAAGGTAGATGAAAATAATAGAGAAAGAGAGAGAGAGAGAGAAAGGGAGACAGAGAAGGAAAGAGCGAGGCCCACATCACACCACCGACGCGTTGCATATCTTATTACGATTTGCTCGAGTGCGTGATGCCTCCACGAGTGAGTCTTTTACGGCGATATGTACGACGAAGATGAGGCAGAAAGAGAGAGGAGGAGGGAGACAGAGTGAGAAACGCGGAAAAAAAAGAAGAGGGAAGGCAGAGAGCGGTGCCGTCGCAGAGACAATGAGTAATTAATGGCATCGTATTATGAATATCACCTCGAGCGTGCGAATTCGCATTTCCGCGACAACGGCGCGATCCGAAACAATCGCGGTGCCCCCTTCGTGTGCGCGTGCGAGACTGTGCGAGGGACGGCGATGCCACGAAAACTAGCCTCGCGTGCATCACCCCTATCGCTCGCACGCATGCACTTTCATCCGGCTGTTGTGCGGATCTTCGTATCTCCGTTCGGGCACAATGCGCCCGGGAAGATAGCGCGGCGAATCGCAGATAGCGGGCCGCTCGTCGGTCGATTCCTCGAGACCGACTTCGGCGAGCCATTTATTTGGGTCGTTCGATAAGTTTCCGCGAAGGGTGACTCTCAAGGCCGATACTCCGGCAATTATATTTCAAGGTATAACTTTATTCGATAATGTATCGACCATGTTTTTGTCTCGATGGCAGAAGGTCATAGAGAAGAAAGAAACAATCGAGTCTGACTGCATGGCGGTGTCGGTTTTGAGCTTTTTCCGTGAAAAATCCGCGCGAACCTGTCAAACAACTTACACGGGGACTGAAACGCGCATTTGAGACGGGCTTTTCATCGCGTGAAGGTGAAATTTAGCTCGTTCTTTTTGTCCCCGTACCTAGTTTCTCACTCCCACAGCTAAAAACTAAGTCTAGTAACTAGATTTCAGTTGTATTATATAGACAACTAATTCCTTTTTCTATGCGTTGATTGCGATTTGACATGTTCGCTAATGTCAAGCGCAAATTCGATTTTATAAAATTACTTAAAAGAAAAAAAGCACAATGTAGTATGCGAGGAGAGTCTCCTAAATAAACTCTGGTGGCGGACGTGTTAATTACGCGCTAAATTCGGCAGCGGAAGTTACGAGATGAAAACTAACAACCGAGTCTTCCGTCGAGAATTAGACGAAGATAGATTAGTGATTAAGAGTACACGCGTGATCAGAGATTTGTCATTTCTTGGGATTCGACAGGCGCGCGTACGAAATCGCTCGCACGCGTAAACGGACGCTAACGCGAATTTAATTAGATCGCTTGAACTTGGCGCTTATTATGCGTAAGACCGCGAAATTAAATCGTTAGGGGCGAGTGCGTCGGAATTCGCAGGCGTGTCCCTCGAGCGACCGGTTACTTACTTTCGTTATGCGCGTCTTTATTAAGGGTTAACAGCGTTTCATTAAAGAAACGGTATCTCCGGCTGATCTGTAAATGACGTGAAACGTCGCCGAGCGGTGCCTCGCTCACGCTCAGGCGTTTTCGTCGCAGCGGATGTCTCCGGGGCATCGGCTTGTGCCACGACTGTGCAACGTTTGTCACGAGGGAACAGAAATATTAAGAGAACGTTATCTCGCAATTAGTATCGTTCGGCACGGACAGGCAGGTGAAAAGGCTGCTTTTCCTGCGCACGCCAGGCAACAGCAGCTGCCGCTCCGGGCCTCTCTCGCTTTTACCACGAGAAATACAAATACGTGAACCCGATCGCGGCCGATGATTCCGCTCTAATGCGTATCGCGTGTTGCCGACGAGATCTATGAAACTAATAATTTGCGGAATTTAATATCACAAATTAACAATTCGCCAAATTCAATTTCGCGAATCAGTCAGTGGCGAAATTGAAAATTCAATACAAATTAATCATTTGCGAAGGAAAGTGAGCCTGACACTGACATTCTTGAAATCTTTTATTTAAATATATATTTTGCGCTGCATCTGAATTTGAGACAAAAAGAAGAAAAATCGTGGCACATAATTTGACCCTTTTTTTTTTTCCATCGATATTCATAGTTGGATATTTAAGTTTATCCTCAGTTGTTTTATAGCCAATAGAACGAGCCGTACAGCATCTGGAGATGGACTTGGGACGATCTTAAATATAAGATCTGATTACGAATACCGGCTTGAAATTTCGAGGGGGGAAAATGCAAGACATTCCCGCGCCCCGTACGTCTTTCGTTTCTCGATTGGGAAAATTTTACGGCGCGCGTTCGCATAACAGTTAACGCTCGTCGCCGTTGGATGTATCTCTTTTACCTCGGGAAACTGGTTTAATTTAGATAAAAGTCGCTGAGAACTGATCGAGCCAAGAGAGCCGGCCGAGCGACAAAGTAGTGCGGCCTTGGCTCGAGGTATGCAAAATGTATAAAGACGTCGACATACGGGGTGTTCACGATCGACGGATCCGATCTTGACGAGCAATTGCCAATTCAATTCAACGATACGAACGTGTTCGATGTTCCTGAGCTCTCGAAACACCTCGGAAATCTGTCGAACGCCGCCGGTCGTTTCGCTCGTCTTCGCATCGAGAGTCTACCGTCGCTCGTCGTCCGCTGGTATTTCGATCACGTTTCTTCTCAACGATCTCCGCGGAAAGTGTGCATGGCGAAAGAAGAAGGTGGGCGCGATCGGTCAGGGACACCGTGTGTATTCTTGCCGTGGGCTGGTCGCTCGTGAAAGAGCACAGAGCGCACACGTACGACCGCGGTCACGATGCTCGCGTCGATAAGTACGACAAATTGCGCGTAATTGTGTGCGTGCACGAGTCATTATCCGGCGCGGAGGTGAAAATGCGGACGATCCACTTAAAAGCGCGCGGCGTCTTATGCGCGCAAAATATGCGGGCCGTTCGCGCTGCTCTCGCCGGGGAGAGAGAAAGAAAAAAAAAAAAACAGGTGCATCTGGAGCGTAGACGTGTCGGCGAAGTGTCGTTGCACCCTTTCGCGTATTTCGCATCGCCGTAAGACACGTCTCAAGTAGAGCAATTATTTCTCAAAGAAGCCCTCTTCTCTCATCTCGGCAGTGAAACGTCTTATTCTGGTTTCCCCTTGGAGACTGGTCCTCTGAATAAGAGTTCTAAATAGCAACGCCAAAAGGAAGATCGCACGCGGACCGATAAGAGTGTTTATTTCTTAACGTTTAGACCGTGCCGCGTCATTCATATGTGAGTGACAGCTTCAACAAATGAAATAGGAATAATTTGATGAACTATTTGTAGAGATATTGAATGGAAAAACAATAAAATCTCACATGTACGCAGTATATATTAATGTAAAGCTAAATTAACGTTATATATTTATTGCAAAATGATCCAAGTTATGTATATTTTTCGTGATATTTTGAAAAGCAATTTTGTGCACAATAGTGGTTGTTGTTAGATCAATTTCTTAAGAGTATTTATATTTATAATATATTTATATATTTATATTTATAATATATGAGATACAGAATACGTATGTGGAAGGGTAGATCCATCATCCTTTCATTCGACGCATGATTTGTGTTGTTATTCTGACTGTATATACGGTTGAAACTAACTGGGCAGTTTAAGCGCCGAAACCTCTCGTTTCTACAATGAAATGTTTCATTCTGGCTTCACAATCTGGCATTTTGTCTCTTTTATCCTCCAAAATGGAATAAAAATCCAAAATAATCTCACCTAAAGGGAAAATATCACGAACCGCTAGAGTAATGACTTCTTAAAATCCCGCTTTTATCACATTTCTATTCCGAAGTTTCATTCGTTAACTGAAACTTCCCGAAATAAAGAGCAATCTATCCCAGAAGCAAAAAAAAAAGCAACGAATCGATAAATTAATTATTCCTCAAAGTCCTTTTCGTCTCATTTCTGTACCGTGAAATAGCTTGTTCTGGTTTCGTTCCACGACACCGACACTTCTCGAAATAAAAGTCCAAAATAATATCAGAGGTATCACGCGATAAATTAGTAAGCACAAGCCGTATTAATAAATTCGCGGCTGCGATACACGCGTCGTTCGGGATTCCGCGCTCGCGGATGCGCATACAATCGCAACAACACATTACGGCCGACACAGCCGCGCCGTCGATATAAAATCCGCGCGGCGGAAGAGCGCGTGACGAGGGGTCGATTTAAATCAGTGCGCAGGCCGCTTTACCTTCGATTAAAATCACCCTCGAGATCCCGTGCCTGCGACATTTGGCGTCGCGCTGCGAGCGAGGGGTGGGGGAGGGGGACGATTAAAAAATCGTCCCCGGCCGTTCATGAACCGCCGTGCGACTGTATCCACCGTGGCGTTTAATAATCGGTAACGCGCGCAATAAACGATAGTGACAAATGTGTCGAAACCGCGATCGTAGTTATCGAAACGCGCTACGCACCCTCGGCGCGCGCGTTTTCACACCCTCGGCGATACGTCACGCGCGGTCCGAGAAGGGTTGCTCACCCCCTTTCTCCCCTTCTCTCTCTCTCTTTCTCTCCCTCTCACCCCGCAGCCCGAAA